TTATTGGAAAAAGCTCAGAAAAGGTAGATTTTGCTCAACTCACCACACTTTATTTCACAGAGAAACAGAAGTTCTCGTATTAAGAGTAGCCAATGTGTAGGTTTTACCAGGAGCTAGCATGTCCAGCGCACTAATGACTTTTGGATGTCTTTCAGGGCTGTTAAAACCACAACCACTCTTCGATAGCAGTTTAATGTGATGTTTGTGCACGTCCCTGCCCTCACATGGCCCACAGCTTTGCAGGCCAGAGACATCCTGTGACAGCAAATCGATGGCTGGTCATGAATAATGACTCACTAGAGAACAATTTGATGAATACTGCTCCTTTAACAGCTTAAATGAATGTCCATTTGTCTACTGTCCTTTGTTATACAGTGTTTCAGGCGTCTCTAAACAGCATTGTGTGAAATTAGAGGATTTCTTCATTTTAGAACAATCTTGTTATAAGATGTTCTTAAAATGAATTGGCTTTAACATCAATTCAATGCATTCTCTTTTTTAACCTGAATGCACGTAAACTCTTCTCTTCTTTTTAATTATAACACGTATATGCTTTAAAACCAAACCAATTACATAATGTCTGTTATCTGTTCCAATCTCCATTTTTGCTCTCTGTCCCACAAAGACATGCAATAATGGCACAGCAACAGTAAGACCTGCTTAGCAGCATATCTTCAAAGGAAAATACATGGATTGGCTTTGACAAAATACATGTAAATACATTGCAATTTGAACCATTTTATAATTAACCATAGGGCTTAGTGGCTTGGCTCTATAACAAGCAGTATATGTTTTGCATTGAATTATTCATAAATGTGATTCAATGCTGTGACAAATTGAACATGATCATTTTACAGGACATAATGAAGTATGAAACATTTGTGTCATTGTTATCTCTGACGCAGCATCCCATACTGTAGGGAGCATATCCTCCAGACATGAGATTGGTAAACTATCCATCCAACAGTGTCATTAGTTGTTTGTGTCACACAACCCTCTCATCATGGTGTTGTGATGACAGGCTGTCGACGTCCAGATCAAACCAACCCTGGAACTTTGGAGAGGAGTAGAAAAAGTAAACAAAGCTGACGTGTACATGTTCCCATTACCCATCAACTCCCTGCCAAGATATTTTATCATTGTCAGCCTTGTCCAACATGAAGGCACTGTGACAAAACAGGAGATTAGGCAGGGGGAGATAACAAACAACAGACCAAATATATGGCCTTTTTCTTCGAAAATACAATTCACATATAATATATGTGTTATGTTGTGTTCTTACTTTGAGGAAAGGAAATGACAGACATGATTCCCAGGGATGAATGGGTTCCTTTTGCAATTTAAATTATTATCTTGTTTCTTCAAAATCAAAGATTGACAATCTCAGGAAAACTGGAAGGGAAATGGGATGATTTCATTCCAACCTGTGGGGAAAGTAAACACACACGGCCTGAAATACCTCCCTGAGTACACTTCAAAATGACACATTTTATGATCATTTGAAATATCTTCTGACCTTTAGTCAAGCTTCTTGTTTGCCGTAGGATGAAACATGATATCTTCAAGTGGATTACTGCAGAGGGAGACTGCACTATCAAGAAAAATGGTCTTGTCAACCAACCTGTTAAAACAAGACCTATCCTCTCTCAGCAGGAAGGTGAAGAAGTGTTACCACAAATCTGATCCTTCCCTCACCCTAAGCAAGTAGTTGCAGTCCCTGTTTGCTAATGTGAACCCACTGCTAGAAAACTGACTGCATTATTGGATTTAGAATTAAGATTTAAACCACAGATCCAAACAGTTTACCAATCTTGCTTTCTTCAATTATATAATAACCATCTAACTCTGATCCGAAATGTGACCTGGAAAAGTAATTCACTTTTCTCTTGGCTAGACTACTGTACATTTTCTAGAAGTTAGTTCTGAATGCAGCAGTTTGGCTTCTCTTTGATTTGAACAGAAAACATCACCCAAATCTATACTTCTGTCCATCAGCTTAATACATACTTGTGTTTTTTAACATTTGAGTGATCACTTTAAAAGCACGACTAGATCTATTCCCCAGCTGTATGGCAGAAATGTAAATATAAGCCATTCCTCAGCCCTACAAATGCTTTCGCGCCTTACAAAAGATTTAACACTTTACCCTCAGGACTAAGGAATAACTCACCTCTCAACATGTTCTCCAACTTTATGTCGTGGTGACTGTCCACTCACACATGCAGACATCCAGAGTAATGGTTGTGTCATTGTTTTCCTAATTGTCTGTCCTTTAATTGTCATGGATCAGTGCTTATGTGCTCTTATATATTTATTGTATTTGCATGAACCTGCCATGAACTGCAGAACACAATTACCCTGTGTAGCTTAACCTGGCCCTTTTGCATGATGAACTCAAGTATTCATGTTGATTTTCACATTTGTTGCATACATTTTATTATGCTTTTATTGCTTTAATTCTTTTTTGGTGTCATATTAATCATGTTCGAAGACACTCACATAGAAGCTATTTTGTTATTAGGATTCAGGTCTTGAAATAATGAATATCAGGACATTTTCAAGGATGGGAAAAGGCTTTTTTTGAAACCATGAGTAGTTTTATGATTGTGTAATAGAGTTGCACGAAAAAGGTTATTATCCCCCTACAAGGCTGTCAGAGAATTTGAAGGAAGTCTCCTGATGTACTTGTGGATATATCAATTTAGCTGCAATTTCCACTGTGCCAGTTGCTGAGGCCCTATCCATCGTAATCATAAATTACAATTAGTGAAATGGTCCCAGAAGCCCAATGGACATGACTCTAACTTTGCTTATTTAAAGGCAAAGTCCAATAGAGAAAACACCTAATGATTAGTATTTAAAAGGTGGCACAGAATGTATCTATGTATTGCATGAATCTGTTTATATACTGCATCAGGAAACAAGGGAGTACAGTATGGAACATATTATACTTGCAGATTTCTTTGACCAAGCTGTCATTATCCTTACATTAACAGATCCAGCTTTAAGGGAATTCAGTCATTCGTGTTATCTGGCGGAGGGACTCAATTTTTCCAGTTATCCATTCGGATCTGCAGTTATTCTGTTATTTCGGTGTCAGACCACTATTGATACATGACAGAAGGACATATTTTCAAAAGAATATTGCTCTTATCCTGCAAGCCTGGCATTTCTAATACTTTAAAAACTGGCAGAATGTATTGATTCGGGTGGGGTATCAATATCAATTATAGTTAGTCTATAATACTATACATTTAATTTAAAAAAGGCCCATGTGTATGCATAATATATATTTAATTGTGGAGACGTTTACAGTCTATGGTTGAGACAAGCAAAGCATCAGCAAGTTTCTCATCTTGGATAACTTTTTAATGATGTATTTAGATTTTCTCTGAGCTAATTTCCTTTACAACTTCTCTGGTACACAGGAAGGAGCCTTCTTTTCTTTCACAACTTCCACACATTTTGCTCAAGGTGTCTGCTGCAACCGCCCTTCCATGTCTCCCCCTTTTGTCTTTTAAATGAAAATCGGAAGCTTATCATTCTGAACCCACAGCATCATCACTACCATAGAGTCTGCATGTAAAGTAAGTTTAATTAGGTTGAGATCTATTGATTGGGAAGACTATAGCATTTGAATTACACCTATTCTTATCAACAGCATTCAGTGACCCCTGTTCACTGGGACTCTATTTCAGCCAAGGCTTTAGATCTCTGTAGCTAATAAAAGCCTTTTTGTACTCCTTTTTGTGGATTGTCTTTCAACATATTTAAATCCTTACATCGTTTATTTAAAACCTTATCATGTGAAATTGAAATGTATTATATATATTAGATTTCTTTTTTTATCCACATAACAGTTTTTCTCACTCAAAAAATCATGAAGTTCCCTGGATATCTCTTTCCATGAAAAGCAGAAATGTGTCATCTACAGTCCAAAATGTGTATATTGATCAACAATGTGATAATTTTGAGTTAATGAAACCATTTAAATAAAATATTATTGAATGTATGCTTTAAAATGAGTGACAGATCTTGCAAACATGACGCGTCTGTTGAACAGTTGATGGACGAGGTACCTTGCAGTCTGAGGAGCATTAACTTCACCTGGGCAGAGGCTGAAAAGCAATTTCAGAGCAGGGAACAATCGCTTCTACAAACCAATGTTTTTTGAGAGCTTTGGATAAGAGACTCTTCTTGTCGATATGAGGTAAACTTTGTTCCATGCTGGTCAGAAAGTTATTCAGGAGCCGCTTGTTGTTACTGAACTTGAAAATGTGTTCCACTTGCCAAACAGGGTTCCATCCACATGAGACTTTTTCAATTTCACCTCAAATAATAAAAAAGTGGTGCCCTCCTTCCAATTTCGTTGAATGGCATTTGGAAATCGTCTGAATTGTGCAACACAACTATATTGTCATAAGAATTGTGGCATAATGGACGGACTAAAATAATAAAAATTGACTTCAAATTCAGTTTTTTGTCCCCAAAGTAAGAGACCACTCTCCTGCCTTCAATTGTTTGAGCTCTTATTTGACATTTGTATATAAGTGTTGTCTTTGACATATATTTATTTCTTCTGCTTATGTAGTTAACTAGATTAATTTAATACAGTGATATTGACAGGTATACATTGTTGTTGTGTGTTTAGCTTAAAAAAGGATAAATGACCAGTTTAGAGTTGTGACTGAAAGTAGAAACAGAAAATCAAATGTCTATTTTCATCAGCTACATTACAAATATTCACAAATGACCATAGCAGGTAACAAACAACTTGGAAGGCAACTTTCTCATTTGAAAATCTGATTTTTTCTTCACATTGCAACTTTGCTTTTCAAATGTGATCCCCTCTGATTTGTGGGCAGCAACATGATATTTGAAGTGCCAAATACAGAAAAGGAAAGCATTTTCAACGCTGTCCACAGAAGGGTGGACTCTGTTTTGTTTCTAAGCAGTGACAGAAGCTTTCAAAATGCATTAAATCAATTTGTAAAAACATCAACCTTCCCTCACATACACTTTATTGTTTACATCTTCACTTCGCTATAAGACATTCTCAGCTGTATTGTATCTTCATACTTGTATATGAAATGCACATATCATGTTGGACATTTTAATTAAAACACTGTCATTTCCATTAAGGGTAAAATGTTTGTTTAACTCTACGCTGAGGGCATTAATGCTTCACAGTTACAACTTTACAGAAATTACAGAAAACAGTATCCGTTTCCATTTTTCCAATACATTGATTAGAAGCATGTGTTTGTCGATGTGTTTCACTAAGTAGGACATGTAGTAATCTCTGAGGCTTTAGTATGATTAACCTCAGTGAGTGGAAATATTTTCTACACCACACCACGTCTATGTATAGTAACCATTCAAAGCAACACTCAAAGGTTAGGTTGATATATAGTGCCCTCCTGTGGTAAAATTGTAAAACACACACACATGTCATGATGTATTTAGTTTCAATGCCAGTCATTTCTACAACAATGATTTGATCATTCGATTGTCTGATCTTCATTGTGCCACAAATGGCCATAACAACTTAAAACTAGGAAAGTCCACAGCTAAAAACATAATAATGCTTAACTTATGCTTAAACACACACATACATGTATCATCTCGATGCCATTATGATGCAATCAATGAAATTAGTTTAAATCAGTCAAGCATTAGAAGTTTTAGTATCACAAATTGACATTAACATTTTCATAACAACAATACCACTGTGTCTTTCCTCGATGTGATGCCCAAGCTGCTCTGAAGAGTGGACAGAGAGAAAATAAAACTGCTGTCTGAGCAGGCGAGAGGGTGTCTATGGGCACCATCTCAGAAAAAGGACAATTTTGCTAAAGTGATTCAAGGCCAATAGGGCCCTATGGCTGAAAAATAAGCCCCAAGTTGTCACAAACTGTTTGCACTCCTTTAATTATATTCACTTTATATTGGAACTTGAGTTATTTTTGTAATGTTGTCATACTGTGGCTAAAGCCAGTCGTGTTTGCCACTGATACACTTTACTTCCGGATGCAGCAGGCCACAAAGTGACAGTCAAGTGTGAAGCCGTCACATTTTTTTGTTTTAGTTCGTACACCGGAACTGAGTGTGCTTTGAAAGACAAGTGATCAAGAAGGAAATAAGAAACCAGACATGGCTAACCGTTTCTCTTTAATTTACAATACACTACATACCTAAAAACATCATAACTTTAGTTTAAAAGTTCAACTTTGCTGAAGCATTGTTAAACGCAACCCAAAATGTGGCTTCCTTGCTTCTGTTATTTTCCACTTTTTGAAACTGCCTGTATTGCTTTGATCCACTCCTTTCTTTCTTCCGTGGTAGCAGCTTGGAGGAAGTAGTGAGTCTCATCTGAGGTGATGATCTCAAAGAGGTTGCCATCAATGTCATATTTCTTTGCTGAAACCCAGGAAACGGAGGTAAACAGCAATTATTCCCCCTGGTTACAGCAAGGAAGCAATGTGTTCTCTGTGACAGTGGCCCAACTCACCATCAGGCACATGTTCCACGGCGGTAATGACAGACCCACGGAGATGAATGGAGCCCAGAGGGTCATCCCCCTGACACAGGGAAGAGACATACAAGTTAGAAAATAAGAACAAGAAAATGAAAGTGAGTAAAACAAACTCTAATTCCTTATTCATTCAGCTTGTACAAGTTACCTTTGTAGGGTCATAATAATGCACATAGGCAGGGTCGTCTCTCAGTATGAACTTTCGCACCTTCCAGTTTTTCCTCTTATGTCCCTGTGATAAAATAACACAAGCTTTCCCCTTGAATTTTACCAAACAGTATGAGGCTTTGTGTTAAGACAATATGTTCATCGACGTGTGAATGTGAGAGGTAATTTAAAAGTGTTTTTCAGGGGACCCAAGGTCGCTTTACAGAAAAACAGAGAGGTAACTACACAACATATGGCTTCTCCCAGATAGTCTAAATGATCCTTTATAAGTGAATGCAGTGGAACAAAAGCACTTTCTGATTCACCTGTTTGAGTAAACAGCCCTGTTTTACAATGTTTCCTCTGAACTCTTGCTTCAGAAGCACATCTTCATCACTGGAGTAGCCTTCGCAGAAGAACCCACTGTCTGCCTGTCAGATCACAGCCATTTAAACACAACACACATCAATCACGTTTCCTCATCACAAACCTTTAACCATATTTAATATGCAAAAGTCACTTACAAAGTAATAAAGAGCAGTTGTCTGATCTAAGAAAACAGACTGTTCTCCACTCTCTGCTCCCTCTTTTGACAAGTCACCAGCAGGCTGGAGAAAACCCTCGTTCAGCAGCCCTGTCGCTAACATTAGGGCCTCAGCTGTATTCCTAGCTTTCTCCTTTGAAATCAGCCACTCTACCACTGTCGCACCTGCAAGAAAAAACAAAGAAGTTGCAAAAAATAGCGAGAACATTTGAAAGACAAAATAATAACTTAGACAACTGTACCTGTGAAGCAGTGGTTGAAGACTCGATTCTCCTGCTCCAGTTTTAACTCTTTTACTCCATCATCCTGGTCTTTCATCAGTGTGTGCAATTCCCTGAGTAAACACAATGACCACACTGTCAATATGTCTTACCAAGGATGTATCACTACTATCTACAGTATTAACAAAAGCCTTTAGTCTAAGGAATTAGAAAGGTAAACTGACATCTAACTTCTTCACTTCACTTCTTGGTCATGTATTTTTTCATAGCATAAACTAATCCATAAACAAGATCATGCTAGAATTATATAAACTAAGTTATAGTTTGTATTATTTATTCCCTTGAATACTTTTTGCCTGTGAACTGTAAGCTTTAGTCTTCTTTCAGAATGTACAGTATGTGGCCTTCAAGTGCCTGTTGAAGATGTGTACAGCTCAAGACAGTTTTTTTTTTTTTTCAGCCAGCCAAGTCATTGCTTCAAAAATGACGAATAACGATTTTCTGTTATCACTGTAATACATTTGACTCCATGCAAAAGGGGAAGTTTGACAGCTGGTGTAACAACAGTATCTAAGATGGGGGCCGTACATAGTTCAGGATCAATTATTTGAATAATGTAAATGAATGTATTTCTCTTCAAATTGTGTTTTTTAAGCACAAATGAAGATGTTACAGAACATACGTCAGGTTGACTTTGTCAGGCAGGCGAATGGAGCGTCTTGTGGACTTCCTGGCAAACTTTTTCCCCCCCTCTAGGCAGGTAATGGCTCTCTTCATGTCCTTCACCCAAAATTCTCTCTCCTCCACATGTGAAGCTTGGAAGAAGTGATCCTGCTTCTTGCCTGTGGTAATCTTAAAAACCAGCTACATAGAACATTGTTATTCAGACACACTGTCACATTTTCAGTTTTCTGTTGAGATTTGCCTTATATATGAGGATCATTAACAACAAACACAGCTGCTAAAATGAATAAAACGTTATGGGTTGTCTCAAATAAATTAAATCTTCAGATTGAGTGTCATAAATCTTAAAAGATGATTGTAGTCCTGAAGTCTGTTTCTAATCCTACTCTACAATGACTGTCATTTTCACAGCTCTAATCCTTCAATGCTAGCTGATTTTTCAACAGCTATACAAGAAATGTTCTTACCATCCTCTTGCCAAAATCCTGGCAAGGACTGATGAGCGTGGCTCCCTTTAGCGGGATCATCCCTTTTGGAGATGAGTCTGTTTTCTTTTTGTAGAATTCCACCCCATCTTCTGACAGCACTACCCACACCGCCTTCCAGGAGTTGAGCAGTGTACCCTGTGGATCAAGAAGGCGGTTGACAACAGGCAGCCTTGAGCAAAAGTGTGATAGTATTGAAAATGTTGTCCTACTGTGTGTAGGCCTTTTGTACATTTAACAAATCTTTGAGTCATATTTATTTGAACCTATTCTTGTTATCAATAAAGGTACACGTGTCTGGTAGTTTCAAATCCTCAGGAGAATTTATATTTTGTTCATGAAAAATTCCCCAAAAAGTTTTTTTTGCTGAAATGTCCCTCTATAAATGTTCCTTCTGCTTTGTCTTCTGTTTCATGCATTGAGCAAGCCAACAGGTTTGATTTGATTAAGCACTATGCGACACAAAAAGCATCAACATGCCACAGTCAAACTGATATAAAGAGTTCTGGTAATACAAAAAGGGAAAGTAATTACAGGCTTTGCCAACCCCTTCTTTTGAATAATTTGCTAATATGTTACATTTCATAATCATGCCCTTCATAATAATTCACTTTCTTCACTTCCTCTGGAAAAAGAAGCAAGTTGTTTTACCGTTTTATCTTTTTTGAGCAAAGTGTGATTCTGAGAAATGCTAACATTACTTATTCTAGGAACAAAGTCTTCCCAAAATATATCTGCTGTGAACATGTTGGTTGCTTTCAAGCATTACAAGAACGCTGTGTGTGAAACTGTGGCTGTGCTCTTTAAACTCAACTATACCACGTTTGAATAAAACAACAGAAACCTGTTCAACATAGTGTGGGAAAATAGGCACCTGCTCCTAGTGTCATTATTATTCACAGAAAAACCACTTCCGTCATGATATCTCAATGATCATCAGAGAAAATAACCAATAAGGCTCGTTCCTGTCATGCACATGTAACCAGTTTAAAAAGAGTTTTCATGGCATGTTAGGTGTGTTGTGAAACTAACACTTAGCTCGAACGAGAAAACTTGTGAGTTTGGGTTTAAGTACTGGATGTGTGAAATGTACATATTCTCACTGCACTTTCTTTAAAAAAAAAAAGTTTGAGTGTGGGAAATGGCTTAATGAAGACATATTGTTTGTAATGTTTGGTCGCTGTTCTTAAGTAAAGTAGTTGGAATGAATGTTGTTGTGTTTCATAGTAATCTTGTAAACCTCTATATCTTAAGTATTCTCCCCCTGTGTCAATCTGCTGTTTATGTCGGATAAATGAAACACAACCGCTTGCTTCTAAACAAAAGCAGGAACTTCATTTTTTTCTTGCAATGTAAAACAGAAGTGTGTAGTTTTGTATTCAGATAAATTACACATATGTTCCTCTACTTATATTTATCAGCGCTGTTTGCTAAGCTCACTTCTACTTTGAGAGGTTTATTAATATATTTTGAAACAGGCTGGCTAACAGATGAAATTGCGACAGTGTTCCTCACCATGTACGTAGTAGTCAGGTCCTCTTATGACTTCTTATAAATCTTCAACATTCTTCAATTTGATCTCCTTTAAAGCACTTTTTTTTGCTATTGTATTAATTTGAATTTAATATTGTTTCATTGTTTTCTTTTTTCATTGTTTTCAATTTGCACTCTTGTTTCACTATAATAACAATAGTTACAGTGTACTGTTTACTAAACTGTTACGTTCACCCATGCGATCATAAAGTTACCCAAGTTCAATTCAGTTAATTTTGTGAAGAGTAAGTATTTTTTACCTTTTTCACCAAGTATCCCTCTCTAATCTGCCGTGGCTCCATGACCCTGCTGTCTGCTGCTGTCAGCTTCAATTTCTGTCACTTCTTTGGTATTTCCTACTAATCAACCCTCTCTCTCTCTCTCTCTCTATCTCTCTCTCTCGCTCTCTCTCTCTCTCTCTCTCTCTCTCTCTCTCTCTCTCTCTCTCTCTCTCTCTCTCTCTCTCTCTCTCTCTCTCTCTCTCTCTCTCTCTCTCTCTCTCTCTCTCTCTCTCTCTGTCAAAACCACAAACGCACAAGCAGGAAGTCATGCCCTGGGGTGTGTAACTGCTGCGTGGTCAACCAGCTTCCTCTTCTATGTGATATTGTTAGTTACATGTTCAGCTGATATCTCTAAACCTCATTGTAAAAATAGTAGGTATTGGGTTGACTTAACGTCTCAATGCATTTACAATAAATACAGATATATTTTTATAGGAGGCTGCAAAATAATGTGGGTGGTAACACTTTATGGTAAGGGTACATGCATCATCATGAATTCATGATGATTCATGTACCCTTACCATAAAGTGTTACCAAAACATTTCTTTCTGCTGTCACTATGATTGAGTTATTTCCACTACTGGGCTTTTGTTACCTTTATTACAGCAAATGTAAGGCATTTCCTTGTTATGTCATGTTATACAACTCTATCTTTATTGTCTCAAGATGCTTTATTAGACTTTCCTTTCCCATGTGATTTTCAGTTTTTCTTTATTTACTGTGGTTCTCTTTCATATGTTTGAACTGTAGTTATATTATATTTATTTATTCTTTATGTAAGATGAAAAACACTTGGTGCTTTAAAAGGCACCAAAAATAAACTTTACTTCTGTCATCAAAATTGCAGTTAGGCATTCGCAACCCTAAGTACAGCTGACCTAATGTACAGTATAGATCCTAACTATATTTTTAGCTGGAGTATGAATCATTTTGAGTGCATGATTTAGCTGCGGTTGGATACATCAGAATGGCTGACCTGAGTCAGACCTTACTGGGCCTATTTCTGGAAAAATAAAGCTTCCTCTTTTCCTGATAACTCAATGTGGCTGAGGTCAAAGCCACGCTGAGTAACAACGGGTGGATAAAAACAATTTCTTCAAAAGTTATAAAAGATGCAGTCAGTAGATCAATGTAACAATACCACATGAGAATATACATGATAACACATATAAAACAGTATATATTTAAAAATATCTATGTCTATATACATTTGGGCATGTAATCTGAATAGTTTTAATTTTTGAAAACCATTAGATCTGCTGGACTGTCATCTTGTCTTTATTTGCAACAGAGTCACCCACTCCTTATCAGAATGTGTCACAGCGTGTCGTTTCTAGTCATTTCATGACAATAGAGGAAGTCTCTGTATCTGAGGTGCCGGCTGTCACGTATGTGTTCACCCGGCTATTTGCAGCAGCGGAAAAACTTTAAGATTCAATACAAACTTTATTATTAAAGTAAACTATTCACAGGACAAGTGCACAACAGAATGAAATACTGTGTGTTGCATCTGCCTCACAATTTTATTGAGAAGAAAAGTGAAAACAAATATGTTTATTAATTGCAAATAGGATAAACTTGCACGTATCAGAAAATAATGCACATACAGTATATGAAAGGTGCTGGACTTATTTTGGAAAGTGACTAAACAATAACCTATAGATTTGTATTGATACTCTTTCCTTTGCTTTATTTCTACATTTAATTTGACACAACAATACAATGCAAAGCTTTGTATAAATAGTGGAAATATTAACATTTTGTTTTGTTTTGAATTAGAAGCCTTGCCTTAACAAGCCAATGGTGGTCATGGAAGGCTTGTACTAATACCGAGACTAAAAGTTTAGTCATGTGATGTTGTCAATGGTCCTCTAGAGGGTGTCATAAACACATTAAAAACAAAAAAAGCTGATGGCTGAGGCTACAGATTTGAATGGTTGTTCAGAAATGAATTTTTTTAGAATATCTCATGAGAGTTGGCACACAAAATTAATCCAATTGCACTTATGTTGGTGAAACTACTTTGCTCTGGTTGCCTATACATCGTGTAGGCATCCAGAGCACAACAACTGAGCTGAGTATGACCATAACATAAGCCATCTTCTGTGTTCAATAATCCTCCTAATGGGAAGAAGGTTTAAACTAGCTGCCTCAATTTAATCATGCAGTCATTTTACGATAAGACACTGTGAAAAGTCACCTTCTGAGGATGATCTCATTCCTATACAGGCCGATCTCACGGACGTCCTCTGTGACTGGAGCATTTTTAAAAGAACACTGACCATACTGTTTGTGTATCTGTCTTGAATCATCTTTCACATGCTGTGAATAAACATCAAGGGAGGCTGGTGTTTATGACTTTATATTAATGAATCTTGGGGCCGCGAGTTTTATTAAGTGTCAACATAAGAGTCATCCCTCGCGGTGGTAATTGAAAAGGGGCTTGCAGCCTGGAATGTTAATTTCACTGAGAAAACAAAGATGGAGGCAAAGAGGACACATCTCATTTTGTAATCATTCATCAAGGACATCATAAGAAGAACAAAGACACTCAACCCTGGTCTGCTTTGCACAAGACACATAAAGGTGCAATAACAAAAGCTCAGAGAATGGCAGTCACAATTTCAAATAATGTCTTTCTGTCTTTCCCCTTCGTCCTTGCGCTGCCTTTTCATCTGCATGTGCAGCATAAAGCAGAGATATGATGACGTACCACACATCCTGGGAATAAAGAAAAGAAATGGTTAGCAAAGGGCTTGAAGAGGAAACAAGTACGGTACTGTAAGCATGATGAAACTGAAGAAACAAGAAATGTTCCTACAAAAAAAACCCACCCCTTCTCCAACAATCTCAGAAACTACTGTATGTTCACACCTCAGATGCCCAATGAGACGAGCATGCAAGGTCAAACACCTTCCAGCAGTACTTGAGATATGCCAGTGTTGGGTTTACTGCTATTTTCAGCTGCTCCCAAGGGGAACACATGCTTCAATTTGAACCTGTTACTGTATATTGAAATGTATGTACTTTATTTGGGTATTTTTAATTTTATGGTGCTTTTTAATTTTAGTCCATTACAACTCAGCGGTAAATTGCATTTCTATTTATTTGAAAGGTTACTACTCAGCAAATTCGGATCCTAGATACATTTAATAGATTATCATTTATAAAAATACAACAGATCAGTTGTTAAAACTTAGCTCCACCTTGACAAGCTAAATTACAATTCATAAACAATAATTCTATCATACTGTACAGCAATGTAACTTTGAAAGGAGTTTAACTTTGTACATTCTCGCTGTCAATATTCTACATCTATTTCAAGTAAAACATTAATGCAGGACTTTCTTTTTTCTTGCAATTCTATACTTTCAATATGTTATCGGTACATTTCTCCCACCACGTCTACATAATACAGTACAGTGACAGCAGCATAGGAGGAGTTCTATGTTGCTCCACTTTTGAGATCACTTCCATTTTTCTTCCTCTCCTTCCCATATTGAACACGGCAATAAATACTGCATGTGTTGTTCCTCCTGCTGTCCCACCCTTTGCCATAGCTCTTGTTTTGCAGTGCTGGCATTGACATCTCCATCCCGGGCCTCTGTACCTCCCAAGCACCATCAATAATTCTGCTAAAGAGTGCACTGAGCTGAAAATGGGAGGGGAGGTCGGGGGGGGGGGGGGGGGAGACAGTTGATGTCTTTTCCATTGCACACTCAATCTCTCTACCTCCTTCCTTTCCCATTGTGCTCCCACACTTCCTAACATGACCTTCTGCAATGTTGTTTATCATCTCGTGCTGTATGGACAGGAACACACGGCAGCCACGCAGCCTTTAGCCCGGACAAAAGTAAGCACTGTTGAGGAGCTGAAGAAGGCTCTCAAGAGGGCCTTTGTATGTCTATTTTATATGGCCATCATTAATCCGTCAATTGTTAATAAAGGAAAGCTGACCTATTGGAAAAACAAGGGGATTGAATTGCATTTTAAAAACCGGCCTTTTAAGAGAGATGACATTCAGAGCACTTTACATCATGAGAACAGATATTTTATATCAAACGTATTTCTCATATTAATAACAATAATAAACCAATTGTCCAAAATGAGTCTGGACAAGTCAAATTATGATGATAAATTACATTTTGAAAGGGCCTATGTACAAAATACATTATGACATGAAAACAAGAGTATATTTGCACACACACAAAGGGAAGGGGAGTTCAGCTAAAAGCAATCTGAAACTCTTTAATGAATCACACAGCAATGAAACACAACTTTTAAGGCTGAAGGCTGGTGCTGACAGATGGCAATGGCCCTCTCTCAGGGTTTAACACTTGTCTATTCCAACCGATCCAATCCTTTATTTGAAACTCAGAATTCATGATAACTTTTAGAAAATAAATGTTACTCTTGCAGGGAAACTCCTTGAATATTTGTTTTTAACATAGCCTACTATACATTTTTCAATACATCCCTACACTGAAAAAACTGAATTGTTGACTTTAAATGTTGTCACGATCTGTCTTTGTGGTGTTTTGTCTTGTCTATATCTGTTTTTGGTTTTCTGTCTGCGTTGTGTTTTGTCTTGTTTGGATTTGTCTGTGGTTCCCTGTCGTTAGTTTCCCTGGTGTGTCTGATTACCCGATTGTGTTCACCTGTGGCCCCTGTGTTTTCTCCTCCCTCCTCACCTGTGTCTTGTTTGTGTGATTAGTCTTGTGTGTATTTAAGGCGAGACACGGCAGGCAAAAACATCGTTTTTCAAGTAGGCCTACTGGTCAATTTTGAGATTTTGTGCTATTTTGATTCCATAACATGTTTTCTTTCAGGCTTTTGGAAGGAAAACGTACAAAATACACATTTAAGTGTTTATTTTACTATAGTTTGTCTATTTGCGTCTGTAGATTTCTCCTAAATTCACCAAAAGTTAGCATTCTAACGTAACATAAAGTACCGCGACCGCTGTGTGCACCATGTCAACAGAGGTATCGCTGGAAAGCTGTGTCTCTCCTGCACAATCTCATCGGATCCAAATATGGTAATTTCCTTTGTATCAGCAACCAATCGTGAAAGCACAAAGGGGTCTTAAACCAAGAAAC